AGGTGAAGGCTAACAAAAGACTGGGAAGCGACCAGCTAGAGAGCGACAGCAGTCATGAACATGCATTAAAATTAATCAACACCGAATGCAAGCATGAGTAGGATATAATACACCATGAACATAAATATCGTGAAGGTTATGTTGATTTTGTTTCAACTACATGCGTGAACATGCGCCAAGTCAAGTCACTTAAATCATTCAGAGGAGGATACCACCCTATCATACCACATCACAACCATTTTAATAGCATGTTGGCACGCAAGGTAAACCATTATAAGCTCCTAGCTAATCAAGCATGGCACAAGAACTATGATCTCTAGTTGTCATTGCAAACATGTTTATTCATAATAGGCTGAATCAGGAACGATGAACTAATCATATTGACAAAAGCAAGAGAGGTCGAGTTCATATCAGCTTTTCTCGTCTCAATAAGTTCATCATATAATCATCATTATTGCCTTTCACTTGCACGACCGAACGATGTGGATAATAATAATAATAGTGCACGTGCATTGGACTAAGTTGGAATCTGCAAGCATTAAATAAACAGGAGAATACAAGGCAATATGGGCTCTTATGTCAGATCAACAATAATGCATATAAGAGCCACTTCAACAATTTAATCATGGTCTTCTCTTATCGACCCCTAAAGAAAAGAAAGAAATAAAACTATTTACATGGGAGAGCTCCCAACAAATAAAAGAAGAACATGAAATCTTTTTGGGTTTTCCTTTTAATTACTACTACAAGCATGGAAATTAAAATTAGCTAAAAATCTACAACTAATTTTTTTGGTTTTTCTTAAGGTTTATTAAACACACAAGAAGAAAGCATAAAAAGGAAATAAACTAGCATGGATGATACACTGAAAAAGTATGAGCACCGACATCTAGCAATGAGTGTGTGAACATGAATGCAATGTCGGTGGGAAATACGTACTCTCCCAAGCTTAGGCTTTTGGCCTAAATTGGTCTATGGCCACGATTTGCCTGGCGGATATCCATAATAATAGTTGGGGTCGTGCTGAGATGCAGCGTCTATCGCCTCCTAAGCTGCAGCGTGGCGACGAGCGGCCTCCGCCCCCCTCTCGTACTCATCTGCCTCCTCTCTGATAATAACATATCTTCCTTTTGCCTGATAATCAAAGAAGGAAGGAGCAGTGAGAGTAATATGGACAACACGGCGTCTGTCAAAGATTAAACGATACTGGAGAGGTGATTCATTCCTCTCGACAAACTGGTGGTGAACCATAGCATTAAAGTCTAGGTAAGCACGAGGTAATTCAATATCATCTTCACGTATGGCTATACCAATAAAATTATCTATGCGGGTTGCATAAATTCCACCAAAGAAATCTCCATTAAACCTATTAAGATGCAACCTACGTGCAACAATGGCTCCCAAATTATAAGATTTGTCTCCTAACACAGCACTCCTAAGAATACTGAGGTCAGGGACACACATGTGACATGCCTCATCTTTACCATTAATGCATCTACCTATGAAGAAAGCAAAATAATGTATGGCAGGAAAGTGAATGCTCCCTATGGTAGCTTGTGTTATATCTCTATAGATTCTCCCACAGTTATCTATACTACTATTAAAAAAGCAAACATAACTCCCTCTAAAGCCACACAACAAAGTGTACACAGAAGTACCAGAGACGTTAGATCAATCAAACTAAATTACATCCAACAATCCATATTACATTCCAGATCTGTCACACAAACTAACGCTCCAGATTAAATGTTCCGCCAGGCAGACTACCCCGCGCACGTCCTACCCCTCCGCACATCACGCTGCTAAAAGCATCCGAACCCAATAAATTATCCACTGCCCAATTGCGCCCCCGCCTTCCTTCCCCACCGCTGTGCTCCCCTCTCCCCATAGACGCCTCCTACCCTCTGACGCCGCCCCGCGCGATGGACGCCATCTCTCCCCTATTTCCCTCTTCACCTCCACGGCCACGCCGCATCGCCGGCCAAGCCCCGCTGCGCTGGCTATGATCCGCCACGCCGCCCCATAGCCCCACACCCAAAGCTGCAGCCGAGATGCATCTGAGCGAGAACGAGGGGATTGAGGGCGTGCGGTTCGCAATGACTGTCGGGCAGGGCTTCGTCGGTGCCGCGCTATGCCTGGAGCTGATCCGCCGCGGCGCCCTGGAGGTCTGCTCCCTCGACAGCTCGACCTGCGCGATTCCTCCGCTTGGTCCCATCAGCTCCTCGACGCCGGCGTCCGCTTCTTACAAGGTTCTCTCCCTCACTCTCTTTTGCTTAAATTATTGTGTTTTTTTCTGTCGCCATGAGTGGGCGTGAGACTTAAATGCAGCGTCGCAGCGAAGAAGGTAATTTGTTTTTCTGTCCAATGCATTGAAGCTATAATGTACGTGCTTAGTAAATTGTTTAGGGCGGTGTGAGACTTATAATGCCTGCCAACTTAGTGAATTGATAAACCTGAAGTTTGTGTTTTTCACTTCACTTGAATTTGCACAATTCAGTTATGTGTTCATTGAATGGATTTGACATGACATTTCCTGCAAGCAATGAGGGAAGTAGATGGGCATGGCTGATCTGTTCGTCATGCAGTTATGTGCTATCTTATTCCTTGATGCTGAGTGTGAGTCCATGCATGTGCAAGCTATATGTACTCTTAGTCTATTAGTGTTCTCTAACTTATTTCCTACTATTCCTGTATGGTACCACTTCTTCCCTAGCAAGGATATGTGAGCCTATTAACCTTATGTTGTCTGTCAATGTCAGATTTAGAACCCAACAAAGAAATATGGCAGAAATTTGCATATTAACCTTTCTTGTGCAGGTTCGAGATATAAAGGTCATATAGGTGCTTCTTTGCCATGAGTCTGTAAACTTGATGAGGCAACATGGTCTTCAAGCACAAGAAATACCCATGTACGTGAGTGTGGGCTGCCGCTCCGCCCTCCACTCCTCTGCTTGACCACCGCCACCGCCACGTTGAAGCCCCTTGCCACCTAGCGGCATGCTTTCTCGTGAGCTAGCTTCTTCAACACATGTTTTTCTGAATTTCTACAAGCTAAATTAGTACATGCTTCTCTGAACGTTGGCCTGTATTGGATTCTTGTATGTTATGATTTGCCCAATCAGCACACCCATGGATAGGGCAAGAAAAATAATTAGAAAGCATGAAATATGCCAATCAATACTTTCTGTTGGATATATCAATTGTTTTAGCTCTTCCTACACCCAACCGCCACATTCTAAATTATGAAGGTTCCAGCTGGAATTCCCGTCGCGTTCATACATTCCAATTTAGCGTTTTAGTTCAAAATTAGAAGCTGGATTCTGTGTATAGTTATTCTCATGTCCATCATATGAACTATGCGTGTGTACTCATGTTGAATTGATGTGTGATACTGAGTCTTTGCATTTTCAATTGCCTTTCACTTTCTTCATGATTTGGTGCATGTGCATTTTCACATAATTTGTAACAAACCAATTCATATTTTCGTCGAGCTTGGATCATTTTGTTCTTTTATAATGGTTGGAGGTGTGGTTTAGGAGGATCAGCAGCTAATGGCAAACGCGCCAGCGAGCCCCGAGTGCGCTGGACCGTGCAACATGAAGAAGACCATCTGGACAAAGGGCAGGTACACGATAGCCAAGAACACAAGGATACGTGCGGGTCTGCATTTCTGAGGTATATCTCTTTTAGCACTAGCGATTAAATGGTCTGTAGCTGGTCAGGCGTGCTTGCCTAAAATGTACTTTAGTAGTTGCTAGAGCCATGCTAGCTTCTATGTTGTTCTTGCAGCCTCAACTAGCTTATTTCATTTGAAGCAAATGTTGTTCTATCCTTCCAATTAATGTTATTCAGATCTTTTTTTCTTTTTTCTGTTGTCATTCACAATACAAATGTTATGAGAATTTCAGGAATTTTGTCATATCTTTCTCCCAGTTACCTTAATTTTGTAAATTGTGGTCTAATTCAATTTTGAGTTTGTTTTCAGAAAAGACTACTTTAAAGCTGTGTAAATCCATTATTTCCTTTGAGTTTGCCGTGGAGTTGAGTTGGGAACCTTTTTTTATACTTGGTGGATGCACTGACTTAGGGTGCGTTTGGTTAGGGAACGAAGTGGAATGGAATGTCATGGTTCCGTTCCATCCTTGTGTTCGGTATATGCAAATCTAAGGAATGGAATGGTTATGTTTTAGTGTTTGGTTTCAGATATCTGATGAAATGGATTTGTTCATCCCTACACTTGTCTGCTTGTGATTATGTAGAATATATTGAACTTTGAACTGGATTTCAGTCAATCAAAAACCATCGGATGCATTGGCACACACATATGGGCAAGATTAAGTTGAATTAGAAAAGAGCGGTGCATACACTGAATCAGATTTCAGAACACCAAATATAGCCGGTTTCAGTCAAATGGTTGATCTCGACAAGACAAAGACTGAATTGGATGGGGAGCTCAACAGTACAGGCCTTAGCCCCAATCGTCGGCGCACTGGTTGGGCTCGCTGGGCGCCGGCACAGGACTGGAGACACCTGGGCGCGAAGACCACGCCGAGCGGTGCACGAGGCCGCACAGCTGCGCATACTACAGATCAACGCCGTCGCTCGCGGCCATCCAGCGCGGCCGTCTCGTGATGCATGAGGCCATGCAGGAGCTGCTCGTGCACTCTGGTACAAATCTACGCCGCTGCCCTCCTCCATTAGCCGCCGTCTCTTGGTGCCCGCCGTCGCTCGCCTCCATCCAGCGCCGTCTTTCGGTGCCCGCCGTCGCTCGCCTCCATCCAGCGCCGCCTATTGCTACCCGCCGCCACTCGTGTCGAGAGAGGGAGAGGCGGTAGAGTTGCGGGAGTGTGAGGAGAACGACCGGTTTCATGTGGTCCGCTCGATTTGGAAGTACGAGCGCGTTCCGCATCTGAGAGGAATATTCGGTTCGTGGGAACTAGTCGGTTACCGTTCCAGCTCTATGCCAAACACCAGAACGGGCCTAGAAACGGGTCCGACCCATGACATTCCAGTTGATGACTGCAACCAAACACACCCTTAGTGACGGAGACTTGCCTGAATGTTATTTTCCTCCGCGTGAAGTGCTTACAATTCTCAAAGGCTTCAACAAGTCCCGGAGGAGATTGACAAGGTGCAGGCAAGATCTCAAGTTCATTGCTGTCTTTGTCTGTCTGAACATTTTCTTATTTGGAGTTGCAGCCGATTTATGGTGTATCAACCGACTTGGCTTAGGATGTATTGTAGTTAGTTTGGTTGCATCAATCAACAAGTCTTATTATGTATTGCTATTGGTTTGGTACCATCAAACGACTGGCCAGTTGGAAAATCAGCGGGGAAAACATGTACTGTAAGCTCCCCTCGCATTTATAATTTGGAGCTTGATAAACAATGTTCTGTGAGCTTGTTAATGATCTGCTATTTTTCACAAAATTGGGACATGTCTGATGGTCGATGTGAGGTTCTCTAAATAAAAAAATTTCTCATTTGTCCATTCTGACAGTCTGATGGAATTTTGTTAATAAGAACCTACAGTTCCTTGGGTAAGTTTGGGTTAGGAGTTCCGTATATATGCGCCAGGAAAGTATATAGGGAAATCATGATATGCTTTTTCTACAGTGCCAACACTGAAAATGTAAAGTGTGTCATGCATGACTTTTATATGTGTTTTAGGAATTGGAGGATAGCTCTATAAACAAAATTTCTTATTCTGCACTTCTCTGCTTTGCTTGGCAGGAATCCTTGTTGTAAAGAGTGAAGGCATGGTTTGGTTTGCATGACATTATCTTCAATTGGCTGGAGATATATAAATGTTGATACTTGATTTTCTCATCTGGCATCTTATCACTTTTGTGAAACACACTTGATTTTCTCATAGTAATAGTTCTTTATTATTGCTGATACATAAATGGATCTTTATTCAATGGTACTTGTATGTGTGTATGGAGAATGGTGATTAACCTTTTAAATAATCCATTGTCCAACAAGGTGATTCTAATTTCTGATTAGATTATACTATAACAATATGATCAGAAAAAATTCAAACGGTTGTATATTTGACACATACTACAACGGGCCGAAGCCTGCCTGTATATTTTTTTCAAATACTAAAATTTGAGATTATAATCATTTGGGCGCTATGCATTGAGAAAGTGGGCATTTAGATAAGAGATTATATAATTAACGCAAAGACGTGCGATATTTTTTCAACAAGAATGTTGATCATGAAGAATGATAATCAAATTTGTAGGGTAGCCAAAGAATATTCTCAAGTATTAGCAGCTGAGTTGTCAATTGAACCACACCCGAGAACTTAGTATCTGCAGCAAAGTGATTAGTAGCAAAGTAATATGATAGTAGTGGTAATGGTAGCAAAAGGTAACGGTAGCAAGAGTAATGTTTTTGATATTTTGTAGTGATGATAGCAATAGCAACGGAAAAGTAAATAAGCGAAGAACAATATAAGGAAAGCTCGTAGGCAATGGATCGGTGATAGAGAATTATGCCGGATGCGGTTCATCATGTAACAATCATAACATAGGGTGACACAGAACTAGCTCCAGTTCATCAATGTAATGTAGGCATGTATTCCGAATATAGTCATACGTGCTTATGGAAAAGAACTTGCATGACATCTTTTGTCCTACCCTCCCGTGGCAGCGGGGTCCTAACGGAAACTAAGGGATATTAAGGCCTCCTTTTAATAGAGTACCGGAACAAAGCATTAGCACATAGTGAATACATGAACTCCTCAAACTATGGTCATCACCGATAAGTATCCCGATTATTGTCACTTCGGGGTTAACGGATCATAGCACACAATAGGTGACTATAGACTTGCAAGATAGGATCATGAACTCTCATATATTGATGAAAACATAATTGGTTCAGATCTGAAATCATGGCACTCGGGCCCTGGTGACAAGCATTAATCATAGCAAAGTCATAGCAACATCAATCTCAGAACATAGTGGATACTAGGGATCAAACCCTAACAAAACTAACTCGATTACATGATAGATCCCATCCAACCCATTACCCTCCAGCAAGCCTACGGTGGAATTACTCATGCATGGCGGTGAGCATCATGAAATTGGTGATGGAGGATGGTTGATGATGACGATGGCGACGAATTCCCCTCTCTGGAGCCCCGAACGGACTCCATATCAGCCCTCCTGAGAGGTTTTAGGGTTTGGCGGCGGCTCCGTATCATAAAACGTGATGAATCCTCCTCTCTGATTTTTTTTCTCCCCGAAACCAAATATATAGGGTTGGAGTTGAGGTCGGAGGAGCTCCAGGGGGCCCACGAGGTAGGGGGCGCGCCCTAGGGGGGCAGGCGCGCCCCCACCCTCGTGGACAGGTGGTGGGCCCCCTGGCCTTCATCTTTTGCAAGGATTTTTTTATTATTTCTGAAAAGTTGTTCCGTGAAGTTTCAGGTCATTCCGAGAACTTTTGTTTCTGCACATAAATAACACCATGGTAATTCTGCTGAAAACAGCATCAGTCCAGGTTAGTTCCATTCAAATCATGCAAGTTGGAGTCCAAAACAAGGGCAAAAGTGTTTGGAGACGTATCACAGCCGTCTCTAAAGCATTCAAATCATAGCCGTCTCTAAAACAATGTTAGTCCGGGTTAGTTCCATTCAAATCATTCAAATCATGCAAGTTAGATACGATGGAGACGTATCACAGCCGTCTCTAAAGCATAACCCCAAAACGATAGCAGTAAATTAGTGAGAGACGTCATAGGTCGCACCATATCTAATAAAATGTGGTTACAACATTCGGACACACCATTACTTTGTGGTGTTCCAGGTGACGTGAGTTGTGAAACTATTCCGCATTGTTTCAAATGAAGTCCAAACTCATAACTCAAATATTCACCTTCACGATCAAATCATATAAACTTGACTTTCTTGTTACGATGATTTTCCACTTAACTCTGAAATTCTCTGAACTTTTCAAATGTTCAAGACTTATGTTTCATTAAGTAGATATACCCATATCTGCTCAAATCATCTGTGAAGGTGAGAAAATAACGATATCCGCCGCGAGCTTCAATGTTCATTGGACCACATACATCAGTATGTATGATTTCCAATAACTCTGTTGCTCGCTCCATTGTTCCAGAGAACAGAGTTTTAGTCATCTTGCCCATGAGGCACGGTTCGCAAGTACCAAGTGATTCATAATCAAGTGATTCTAGAAGTCCATCAGAATGGAGTTTCTTCATGCGCTTTACACCAATATGACCCAAACGGCAGTGCCACAAATAAGTTGCACTATCATTATCAACTCTGCATCTTTTGGCTCCAATACTATGAACATGTGTATCACTACTATTAAGATTTAGTAAAAATAGACCACTCATCAAGGGTGCATGACCATAAAAGATATTACTCATATAAATAGAACAATCATTATTCTCTGATTTAAATGAATATCCGTCTCGCATCAAACAAGATCTAGATATAATGTTCATGCTTAACACTGGCACGAAGTAACAATTATTTAGGTCTAAAACTAATCCCGAAGGTAGATGTAGAGGTAGCGTGCCGGCGGCGATCACATCGACTTTGGAACCATTTCCCACACGCATCGTCACCTCGTCCTTAGACATTCTTCGCTTAATCCATAGCCCATGTTTCGAGTTGCAAATGTTAGCAACTGAACCAGTATCAAATACCCATGCACTACTACGAGCATTGGTAAGGTACACATCAATAACATGTATATCAAATATACCTTTCACTTTGCCATCCTTCTTCTCCGCCAAATACTTGGGGCAGTACCGCTTCCAGTGACCAGTCCTTTTGCAGTAGAAGCACTCAGTCTCAGGCTTAGGTCCAGACTTGGGTTTCTTCACTTGAGCAGCAACTTGCTTGCCGTTCTTCTTGAAGTTCCCCTTCTTCCCTTTTCCCTTCTTCTTGAAACTAGTGGTCTTGTTGACCATCAACACTTGATGCTCCTTCTTGATTTCTACCTCCGCAGCCTTTAGCATTGCGAAGAGCTCGGGAATTGTCTTATCCATCCCTTGCATATTATAGTTCATCACAAATCTTTTGTAGCTTGGTGGTAGTGATTGAAGAACTCTGTCAATGACACTATCATCAGGAAGATTAACTCCCAGTTGAGTAAAGTGGCTGTGGTACCAAGACATTCTAAGTATATGTTCACTGACAGAACTATTCGCCTCCATCTTGCAGCTATAGAACTTATTGGAGACTTCACATCTCTCAATCTGGGCATTTGCTTGAAATATTAACTTCAACTCCTAGAACATCTCATATGCTCCATGACGTTCAAAACATCGTTGAAGTCCCGGTTCTAAGCCGTAAAGCATGGCACACTGAACTATCGAGTAGTCATCAGCTTTGCTCTGCCAGGTGTTCACAACATCTGGCATTGCTCCTGCGGCGGGTTAGTTACCTAGCGGTGCTTCCAGGACATAATTCTTCTATGCAGCAATGAGGATAATCCTCAAGTTACGGACCTAGTCCGTGTAGTTGCTACCATCATCTTTCAACTTAGCTTTCTCTAGGAACGCATTAAAATTCAACGGAACAACAACACGGGCCATCTATCTACAACAACATAGACATGCAAAATACTATCAGGTGCTAAGTTCATGATAAATTAAAGTTCAGTTAATCAAATTACTTAAGAACTCCCATTTAGATAGACATCTCTCTAATCTTCTAAGTGATCACGTGATCCATATCAACTAAACCATGTCCGATCATCACGTGAGATGGAGTAGTTTTCAATGGTGAACATCACTATGTTGATCATATCTACTATATGATTCACGCTCGACCTTTTGGTCTCATTGTTCGAGTCCATATATGCATATGCTAGGCTCGTCAATTTTAACCTGAGTATTCTGCGTGTGCAAAACTGGCTTGCACTCGTTGTATGTGAACGTAGAGCTTATCACACCCGATCATCACGTGGTGTCTCGGCACGACGAACTGTAGCAACGGAGCATACTCAGGGAGAACACTTGTACCTTGAAATTTAGTGAGAGAACATCTTATAATGATACCGCCGAACTAAGCAAAATAAGATTCATAAAGGATAAACATCACATGCAATCAATATAAGTGATATGATATGGCCATCATCATCTTGTGCCTTTGATCTCCATCTCCAAAGCACCGTCATGACCACCATCGTCACCGGCTTGACACCTTGATCTCCATCGAAGCATCGTTGTCGTCTCGCCAACTATTGCTTCTACGACTATCACTATCGTTTAGTGATAAAGTAAAGCAATTACATGGCGATTGCATTTCATACAATAAAGCGGCAACCATATGGCTCCTGCCGGTTGCCGATAACTGTGTTACACAACA